AGCTCAGCGAGCGAAGCCATCCTGGCCATCCTCCTTCAGTTGCGCACCCTTGTAAACGTAGCCTGGGATGGAGTTGAACTGGACCTGCAATGGTGCTGCTGCTGGCTCCGCAAGGCGTCCTCCCTGCTTCTCCAACGCCAAAGCAGTTGACTTGGAGAAGCGGGGGTCTGCCACTTCATCGTCAAGCAAGTCCATGATCTTGCCGAAATCCTCGTTCTGCACGTTCTGGCCATTGATGGAGGTCACCACCCAACCACTCTGCACGCCGGAAGCAAAGGCCTGGCCCTGAGGGTCACCAGGATATCTTGACTTGGGGATGATCTCCATTGCCATGGCACCCTTCATGCCCTGACCTGGCTGCCAGCGCAGGATACCGAAAGGTCGCTTCTTGAACTCAACTGCGGCTCCAGGTCCACTGGCCTGAGCAGGATCAAAGGGCACGTCAGAGTCCTTTGGCCCGCAGCGCTCCAAGTACTCAGCGCTCACACGGCAAGGCACTCGGCTGGTGCGAAGCTGCTGCTGTGGTGTGCCAACGAAGGCCAGGCTGGCCGTGTAAACGGCCGCCACCACACCAAGGACGGGAAGGAGCACTGGGCGGGCCATGGCAACCCAAAAGGACACGCGGGAAGAGCGAGATCTATGTGCTCAAATCCTGGGCCTCTTAGCGAGTTTGCAGAGAAATCGCTTGAACTCGAGATGGAACGATAGGGCTGTCCTTCAAAGATCCAACACATACACCAACGCATGCCTGAGGAGCACCCTTGCGAACAGCTCTTTCAACATCAGCCAAGCTTCCAATCACTGCATTGAGAGAGGTGCCAGTCTCAACTCCAGCATCCCGCAGTGTTTGATTTGCAGTCAGTGGATAGTTCTCTTTCAGAAGGCTTTGAACCTGAGCAATATGGCCATGATGTGCTACGACCTCCCCGCATTCATAGAGTCAAACAAATTGATATCTCTAGATCAAAAATCCAGGTGCAGGACCAAATAGATCATGCAAAAATTGACCGTTCCTTTTTTGTGAACACAGAGAATATCAATCTCTGGTTTCTCTGTGATCCCAGACTATCTGTCCAGACTCCAAATGCTTTCTCAATTCCTCCTTGCAAGAAGGGCGATGGCTTTGCCTTGCCTATCTAGCCTATCTACATGGAATCATGGCTCACAGGGCATGAGAGAATCAAAACTCTTGGGGATACCCCGTGAACGAAAAGATCATGGTTGTGAAAACATGTCCTTGACCTTTGACTACGCCCGAACCCACTTCTTCAAGAAGTTGAAGGACAATTGACCTTCACAAAGATTGATAAACAGATCATGGTGCTTGGCCTATCCCTCTTTTCTTTGGACACCGCTGGTTTCTCCTGTAATGCCTCCACTGTCTGGTCAGAAGGCCTGCAGATGGAGCAAAGACGAGGAAAAGATGTCAATCCAAGCCAATCCAAGGTCTTTAGCCAGCTGTGAGCTCGGACATGGCCATGTAGACATCATTCAATCGTTGTTGCTGTCTGGATCTGACTGCAAAACTCAAGAGTATGGATTGACAGGGACTAGAAGTGTTGGCCATTTGTCCTCACTACAATGTTTTTTGGCCTGTGGATGATTGAGCTACTGCCAAATCTAATTAAAGGTGTGTGCAGGGAAGATGTGGTCAGTGGTTCAATACTATATGTGCAAACTGATTGATCTGACAGTCTCAGTATTAAACTGAAAGGTGATGTGCACAGCCCTTAGGGTGCACGCATCATGCCACAAGAGGTAGTCTGGAAGTGACTATGCTCGGTGGGCCGAGGTTCATGAAACACAAAAACAACTGACTATACTATACTATACTATACTATACTATACTATACTATTTTATACTATACTATACTATACTACACTACACTATACTATACTATACTATACTATAGAAACGGAAAACACTCCGGGTATTCCCGTTAGACTGGGGTCTGAGCACCCCGACCACTTTAATGAGACCAGCTCTGCCCCTGACGCTGCGTAGTGTACTTTCAGCTCCAGCTCCACCGCCGGTGCAGCAGGTGCAGCCGCAACGGCCGCCACAGCCGCCTTCTGTGTAAACATTCATCACTTCAACATCTCGATCAAAACTAGGTTGGCGGCCATCGCTCGTGGGTCGGAGGCCATTGCTACAGTAGCAGGTTGGAGGCCATTGCTAGCAGGTTGGAGGCCATCGCTAGCAGGTTGGAGGCCATTGCTATCAGGCTGGAGGCTATTGCTATTAGGCTGGAGGCCATTGCTATCAGGTTGGAGGCCATGTGGATCCTGAAACTGCTTCCTCAAACCTCGACGTCTATTCCCCAAGATCTGGGGAGAGCTCCTGGCCTTGGCAGCTTTGGCACCTGCGCCTGAGATGTGGGGAACAAACACCAGCAGTGGCAACTCTTAAATTTCTACTGTGTATCACCATCATTCTACTGACTTGTCTATCTCGACCTCCGGTATATTTGTTAACAATTTGTGAATGATAATGGAAGTGGGGCTTGGTTAGAGAAGCTGGCAGAGCTATAATCACATGAAGATCATGCACATGCAAAAGCTACGAGGAAGATTGCTGTTTCGAAGTTCCGAGGGGCAAACCAGTCCTCTGAACCGATTTCTTTGTGCTAGCCAGCCCTGGAAAAAGAAAGGAACAAAAATCACCGCAACCCCTCAGCATGCGTTTCGCATGCGAAACGGTTTACACGTTACACTCCAAGTACGCTCAACCACTCCGCATGATTCTGCATGAAAAATCATGGGTCGTGGCTTAAGGGGACCCCCTCTCAAGGCCCCCCTGGAATAATTTATAAATTATTCTGACCCCTAGTCACATCGATGCTGGAAATTATTCTGGTATGTCATTCACGTTCAGGAATAGTTTCAAAAAACTTTTAAACATCTGGATGCAAAACCACGTGTTTGAATAAAAATTTGCGTTGAATGTCTAAGTATAGGTTCCCCTCCTAGTGAGAGCTTAGGGGGATCGGTGAGAATGTAACAGAGCCAGGACTGTGGACAATTGCAATGGCAATGGCAAGTGGTGCAGGACCCAGCCAGTGGCACATAATTATTCCAGGGGACCTCCACATCTGAAGGACCCATGGGCAAATTGAGCCCCTAAGCACCC